CAAAATATATTATATTTATTAATTTTTTAGTGTTAGTTTTTTGGATTACATTGATTTTTATAAATTTTTTAATATTTATTAGTGTTCTTTTATAATTTTTAGTGCCTTGAAATGTTACGTAAAAAATGTTTACACTTGTTTTTTATAAATATTAATCATTTTTATATTTATTTATTGTATTTAAGTACAAATGACCTAAAATTTAGTATCATAATTTACTTAATTTCAAGAGTCTTTTTTAAGACTCTCGAAAGGTAAAAAGGTTAAATGTTTATAATGAGCAGCATATGTCTCACACTATGTGAAACACTTTTTTTACACAGGTGCTGATTAAACCAACAACTGTTTATAAAAAAATATCTGTGTACAATAGTGTGAGACATATGCTGCTGAGGATTTTACACTAAATTCTTAAAACTAAAATAGATTTTGTAAACGTTGACAGTTCTGTTCTTATTACCAGGGTTAATTTGCATTTTCTCAACTAGCAATCAAGTAACTTGTACACTGATCTGAAGAGACTAATACCATGATGTTTTTAAGAAATTTTTATGTATACGAAACTAATATGATATTTATAAAAAATTAATCATTAATAATTTTATATGACTAAACAGATTTAGAAATTCTTCAAACTTTATCTTAGTATTACAAATTTCTGTTCTGCACTTGCCTCTGACTACAGTTCTCCATTAACATTTTCTTTGCAATGGTCTCGATGATGATAACAAATTTCAGCACACCTGATGATAAATTTCAAGATCTCTGATGAGGCACTCAAAATGGTTTTCTGAATATAGTACCATGTTTTCTTTGAATTTTCCACAGTGGGCTATATTATAGATGTGCTCTTTGATGAACAGTCAGAAGCCCATTTTAAAGTAATTTTTGACTAGTGCTTCCAGAAGTTTCATGCAGTGTTTCTGAAACAAGCTGTTAACCAAGAAGGCTGTGACAAGTTCTCCTTTCGGGTCATAGAGTTTCATGGTGCATTACTTACATTTCATGAGCTTCAATGACTAGAGAGTTCCAACGCAAACTTCTGCTTTGGTTCTTCTAGTAGATAATTTATGAGAGAAATGCTGAAGGTGTTTGAAAGCAGCCCAAACTGCATTTTGACCTTTGACATACTGCTTAGAGTTGTTTGAGACAAAATTTCTTTCTAAAGATCTCAAAGACTTGAAAACCATAGTCAAAGAGGACTAGAATTCCTCAAAACTTAATTAACAAGGAAAATACGGTTAAAATTCTTCTCCTCAAGAAATCACAATGCCTTGAAAATTATACCTGCAGACAACAAGAGCTCCCCAGAATAGCTTGCCGAGAACATAAAAATGCACTGTGACATGTGGGTACAAATTAAGGAAATATCACTTTACCAAATAATGTCAAAAATCTGCATTAGTTTCAATAGCATTCTTTTCTTTTTTAAATCCCCATCATGTTTTATTTTAACTGTATTTATTTTGTAAAAATACAGTTTTATGTCACAAAGATACCTATTTGTATTTTCACATTTGTGATACACAAGTGCTTGTTTTTCAGGAAATATCTTATTCTCATCATTAAAATAAAAAAAAAATCCTCTATCTGATCAAGTCCAGCTAATTGTGTATTCTTCACTCATGATACAAGCACTTTGATCTAATACAAGCAATGATCTGAGCACTAATGGCCATATACATATGTAGCGTGTTGGCCACTGAAAATGAGATTTTCCTTTATTAGGAAACATATATCTTCAGCAGCATGAGGATTTCCAGGAGTACTTCCCAGAGCACTTGAAAATACAGTACACTCCAGATTATCTGCGGATAACAAAAAACGCGGATAATTCAAAAAAAGCTAAAAATGGGTATAGCAAAAGAGAAAACAGTCCATTCCAACTTTGAAAAATCGTTTTATGTACAGTAAAACGTGAAATAAACAGCAGGAAATGCTTAACTAACGCTTAATTTTTTTTAGTGTATCACACAAAATTAACCTAAAATGCATTTTGTTAATGAAAACAGAAAAGTGCTTTGTACTTACGAGAGGCGTCAAGGATACACAGAAAATTAATACATATGTACTGTTTTAACACTGTAATGTTTTATGTAATTACAAAAGCATAACTGTAAAAGTACACCTTTTTGAAGAAATCAGTCATTTGTGTTTGCTTCTTGCTCTGGAAGTATTTTCTCTTGATCCGAGATTTCATTTTTGTTAACATAAGTTTCTCAGCCAACTCCGCGTCGCCTTGTTCTCCCAAATACCTCAGCAGTCCGTCGACTTGTTGCAAAGCCGCTTCGTGAGTCTTCCGCATCAGCACAGTGGGCTCTTATTTGCCTTCACTTCGCTCTCCTTCATTCTCGGTCTCTTCCCTTGCTTTCTTCATAATTTCATCATCTGTCAAGCGTTTGAAGCCAGGTTCGTTGACGTCACACTGCAATTACTCGTTTTCAGCATCGACGTTCTCACCACCCGGAACTGTTTTCACCATATCGGCAAGAGTTGGCGTAGGAGTATCTACATCTTCATTCTCTTCCTCACAACTCAAAGGGGTTAGGTTGTTGCTGGCTTCAATATTAGGCATGAGTTTTCTCTATGATTTTATGAGGGTTGACGTTTTCACTGAGTCCCATGCAGATGCTGTCCAAGTTTATATAGTGTTTCAAAAACTCTTTCAGATCATAACCTTCTTCAAGTTTGGTCATTAGCAGCTTGGTTCGGTGTGTTCTCTTCATTGTTGCAATGACTCTTTGGTCCATGGGTTGGATTAGCGCAGTAACGTTTGGGGGGAGTAATTTTGCAAAAATCTGTCCATCAGAAGACTTTAGCATGCTTGTTGCTGGGTGAGAAGGTGCGCTGTTGATCAATAGTACAGCTTTTTCAGACAAGTTTTTCGATTTAAGATGTTTACACACTTGAAGAACAAAGATTTTTTCAAACCATTCTTGACAAATGTTTCAGTTCATCCATCTCCCCCCCCTTTTTTTTTTGGTTAAAGTAATCAACGGGCAAATTTTCTATCCTTGTGCCTTTGAAAGATCTCGGTTTTTTTTACTTTCCAATGACAATAAGTCTAAGTTTATGTTCACCAGTAGCGTTACTGCAAGACATGATAGTGATCCTTTCCTTGCTGCTTTACTTTCATTTTCAAATGTTAAAGTGCGAGTGGGAAGACATTTCCACAAAAGTCCCGATTCGTCGGCATTGTAAATTTGTTCAAAAGATGGCTCTTCTTTTTTAAAACAAATTCTTCAAATCCATGTGTGGAAATCGTCGGTTGATTGTTGGTCACCACTAAGTTTCTCCCCATGAAGTCCAATTTCACGAATTCCATGTCACTGCTTAAAACGAGTCAGCCAGCCAGAAGATGCATCAAAATTTCCTTTCAGGCCTAACAACTCAAAAAAGGTTTTTGCCTTCGCCACAATAAGACAAGACATTTACAGGAGTACCCTCTTTTCGAACTTCAGCTAACCACTGTCAATGCCGTGTCTAGCTCATCAAAGGTTAGAAACCCTTATAGTTTTTCGCGTTTTCATTGTGGAAGCAGTGTCCGACAATGATGCAAAGTTCACCATTTTGTCTTTTTCCTTTAGAATGTCACGCACTGTTGTTTCCAAGATTCCGTAATCCAATTCCATCTTCTGCCTTGTAGCGCCATTTGCTACTTTAGAAATTAATTCTAGTTTTTGCGCAATTGTCAACACAAACTTCTTTCGTTTTCCTGACATTTTAAATCGGTAACGAAAAAACAAAACCAAAAAGCACAAGCACTGAACACAATAATTAACTCAGACCGGTTCGCAAACACCATCAGGCTTAAACTAACAATGGCGAGTGGGAGGAAGTGGACGTGTCAGTAAGATTAAGACGAGAGAGGGGGTGGAGCGGGCACTGCAAGAGTGAGTAAAAAATCACTCACTCATCAGAGGGGAAGATTCCGAGAAGGCCTGGGATATTTTTGCCATAAATAAGCACAATGTTAGCAAATTTAACGTTTCGCTCAGTTACGTGAACATTTTTATTTTCTTTTGCTTTACGCTTGTAAAAAAAAAAAAAAAAAAAAAAAAAAAAAAACTTTGTGCGGCAGGCGCGGATAATTCGTCCGCGGATGATCGGGAGTCTCTACTGTATGCACATCATCATCATACCATCATCGTATATAGATGACATTCTGCAACCTATTGTGTTACATTCTCAGAGTATAGCCAAGCCATTACTAGACACAAACGGCACATTTTGCGAACGATGGGCTCTATAACCGTTTGACTGCTAAGCAATTCTTGCAAAAACGCACGAAAACTGCGAGACATATTTTGACTTGATGTTGTCAAATAAAACACTCTCATTTAGACAAATATCAATCAATTTTAATAATTGTTTTCGTACTATAAAGCAACAAAGACACACTGAAACTCGCAGCTCAGAACGCTGCGCCACGGTTTTCGAGACAAATGAACACAGCGCTTTTGCGCTGCGTAGCAGTCAAACGGTTAATATAGACACTTCAGTCTAATGCAATTCCCTTATCTTTGGCTTTATGCAGCATATCCGTGATATGAAAGGACACTGCCTAATCTCAACCCAGATCTGGATTTTACCTGGCATTTTACATACTGAGCATTTATTTGTGCCATTCCTTTTATGTCTATTTCAGGCATCTGAAAAGCTTTTATCAAAACCAGATGTAAGAGTACACGCTGCTGAGAAAAGCTCAAATACTGGACTGCAAATGGTTAAATGCACAATAATAAAATATACTGAGAAAAAAAATATTCAAATAAAAGAACATTCATAAGTAAAATAGAATTTAAAAGTTCATATAGTAATGAATGCACTGCAGTGTCAGCAATGCAGAAGGTCCATAATGAAATGTTTCATGCCTACTTCACAGCAAAATAAAAATTATTCCATTCAGAGATATATATTGCAATTCATACACGCTTATTATTATTAAACGTATAATATAAAATCCAATACAGAAACAGGCAAAATAACAGAACACATACATGTCGAATACAGCGTTGAAGATGTTGTATTTCCAATTGTTGCATGTACAAAGCATGATAACACTGGCTTAGGCATAACAATAACTGTTGATTACAAGGTTGAGACATGTCACTTATTGCCTGAACAGGCTGACCTAAAAAAAGAAACAACAATTACTCGAGATTTATATATACAGCTGACACAAGCACAAAATTAATTCTAAACAATATTGTTACGAAATGTACAGCAGCAGTAAAATAGCTTCCCCACAAAGCAGGTTAAGGGTTGCTAGAAAATGGCAAGGGAAGGCAGGGTTGCCACATTTGGAGAGAAATCGCCCATTTGGCGACAAAATTGGTGATGTGCCATAGACGGATGGAGAACCTTCTGGAACGAATTCTTACAAGTTTAGTACAGAATGTTCTCGAACACAAGCCAAAAGCTATATAAACCCTGCTGGTACGTGAAGAGTCAGTCTGTGCAGAGTCAATCCAGTTGATAGTCAGTCAGCGAACGAGTGTCTCATGCTCTAAAGTTGAATTGGTTGCCAAATGCATCGAGAGAGTCTGCTAGTGTATCGCGAGTTAGTACATTGTGTTGAGCTCCGGGAACGACTGAACCGAGTTGGGAGCTGTACTCTAGTGTATCGCCGAGTGCATCACAAGTTGTAGCGTGGAGAGTCTTGAGAGGACGTAGAGTTCCAAGAATGACTGAGCAGAGTCAGGAGCTGTACTCAGGTGTTTTGCCGTGAAGCTGTCTCCACTGTAACAGCCTGAAGGCTGTGTCGCTAATTGTTTCAGCATGATTATAGTAGGAGGCTGTGTCACTGATTGTTTCAGCATGATTATAATAGTTCTTCGCTGACTAAACGTGTTATTGGAGCTGTCTTGAATAATACTGACTAATAAATTGCATTTCCATTCTTCATCAAGTGCTGTTGTCGTTATTCACTCCAAATCCACGAACCCGTACTTGAAGAAAAACATAACAATATTTTAATATTTTATTTAGTCTAAAAGAACATTCAAAACGTTCAATCCTTAAGACTATTCCCAAAATGAAAATAAAACTAATATAAATGTAAGGCTGAATTTAAAATTTTATATTACACTATTAAAATTTATTTTGAAATTCAAAAGTTTTCCGTACGAAAATTTTTAATTTATCTTAGTTGAAAATTATAATTATGTTACCCAAAACTGCAGGATTTCAAAATAAGGTTCAAAAGTTAACTATAAAAGAAAATTTTAAACCAGGCGAAATTCAACTTCACATTTCTGTTAGTTTCACTGAAATGCAAAGCTAAGCTTTAAATAAATATTTTATACTGGCATACTTCCCTTCCCCATAAAATTTAAATTATTAACAGGTAACAATGCATATTATAATGCATACAAACATATTTTTTGAATTTTGAAAACTCTACTACTCTTGAACATAATGGAATATCAAAAATATGAAAAGTATTACTTTTTAAATATTCAAATCATTTCAAATTTATCAAAAAATTTATAAAGAATTTACTCTTACGTTAGCATTCAAAAATAAGGAAAAGAGCTCATGAACACCAAAAAGAGACCATAAAATTATACTTCTATGATCTTTTCTTCCATATAAATTACAAGAAATCAAATACAACTATTTTTAGATATTCGTCTGCAGTTTATTCATATATATTCAAACATGCAATGTTACTAAAACAATGGTTCAAAAAACATGCATCGAGGTATCTTTAGTGTACCATAGGTGAGTTTTTGTATTGGAGCTATGACAGAAAGAACATATAACAGACACTGTACAAACTACTGTTTTCAAGAGCTCCTACCAGTTTATCAACAGTTGTGAAAATTATTTTCAAGTACATGTCAACAAATCTGCATGTGTTCAAGGCCCTTTCAGAATGAAAGCTCCAGTTAAATTTATTTTTGTAGAAGGCAACCTCATTGTGTCTGTTGTATTATGACAATGCAAAGAAAATTAAGTTTGATAACACTAAGATGAAACTAAGAGTGTGTAGTATGGGAAAATGGATAGTTCCACATGCGACAACAAGTCTGCATAAGGTTTTTGGTGTTTGCTCTGATAAAAAGCAAGCATTATGAGAAAAAACAATGTGGAATAAGAAATTATATACCGATTTTATTCCAAGATTTCAAAAGATGTGCAATGGAAGCTCATTCTTCCCCTAATTGCAATTTATTTTTCCAATGATATGACTGTTCAAAATATGTATTTACTCTGTATACTTTATATAACTGTTCCCGAATTTGAAAAATGTGAATGATTTATTTCTAGCTTAACCAATGTAACTATTACATAAGCCTGTGTTCTGCCTCTCAATGCTGGGCTAAAAATTTTCATATACTGTGGGCACCACTAACTAAAAATGTTCAATAAATACTGTATAGAAATTTTCATCAACAGGCTGAGGGATAAACAGGATTCAATAACAAGCACATATATTAGTTGAAGCATTTAAGTACTAGCTCACTTAAAAATGGATATGAAGTAATAACAAAATAGCAAAAACTCTTACACATGTTAGGAATGCTTTGGCTTGAATTTTGATGATAGCTCTTAGTAACTTGCGGTTTGTCATTTAAAAACTGCGCTTGACACAATGCACTCAATTGTTCAATGTGACTTTTTAACTGCTGTACAAAACCTGAGGGCAGATGCTGCTGGTTGTCTTTTGAGATTGCATCAGAGCAGGAAGCAGAACTAGGTATCTCCCTAGAAGATCCTGCAACACCACCCGAGAAAGAGGCCTAAAAAGTACAAATTTTCTCTTTTACAAATGGAGGAAAAAATTTATACTGCAATAGAAGATTTATCACAAATAAATATTAATTCAATAAAAAAAGATACAATTAAAATAGCAGTTATGTTTTCAAATAAGAAATTGCTAGGACAAAGAAATTAAGACAATAAACTTCCTTTGCCATCTAAGTAGTCATATTTTTCAAGTTCTTTCATTTTACCTTAAAGCTGATTTTTACTCCATCAAAAAGGTGTTGATACCATGCAACAAAAAAAAAAAAAAAAAAAAAAAAAAAAAAAGAAAGAAAGAAAGAAAGAAAAAGAAAATGCTGGTGAGGTACCTCCATATAAAACAGGATGAAATTTTTAAAGATGATACTAACTTCTGATTGCAAATAATTAGGAAACTAATTTTATGCCAGGAAGAAGACATGCACGTTAGGTAAATAATAAATTTTCACCCCACAGGATTTAAATTAACTATTTCACTGTCAAAGATTAATAATATTTCCATAAAATCTATGGAATGAAACAGTAATATAAAGATCTAATAACATCAAATAGGATAGCTGCTGGGATTTTTTTTTTTTTTTTAAGACCAACGTAAACATTTTACTACTTTAAATAATATATTATTGGTCACATTCATTTTGTACTGTTTGAGGCCTTTTTACAGATATCTGTGGCCAAATAAGACCAAGATTTTCTTAAGATTCATATGGTGGGAAGATTATAAGGAAAGAAAACAAAAAATTTATCGTCACTGACGGGTAGTGTTTAGACTTACGAGCAGCCCTTGCTAGCTGCCATTCTAGATTACCATTTGGAACAAAATGAAAGCAATTTTCCTGAAACCGTAGAAAAGCTGAAGGAATGCCATTCTATGTGGAATAACTGCATAACTTCGGTAACTAGTCAAGATGAACTTAAAAAATTAATTTTTGAAGCAAAACAGATTCTGGCTACAGGTTGTTTCATTTAAGCCGAATCTGTTGTATTAAAACAGATTCGGCTACAGATTCCAGTCTAACAGGTGAAGAATGTCAAAAACAACTTGTCCCTGTTCTTGGAATATTATGAGATAAAACTAAAGACATTCTGTTTTGTGTTCTTGAAAAAATTGATTTCAAGCAAAAACCCATTACTAGAAGATATATTCTTTCGACAGTTCACAGCATCTTCGATCCTATAGGAATTCTGTGTCCAGTAACGATTCATTTGAAACTGTTGATACAGAATAGCTGGAACCTGAAGATTGGTTGGAACCTGAAGAAGATTGGTTCAATAAATGGCTTGAAGATTTACATCTGTTGACAGAGATCAAAATTCCAAGATATGTCCAAAGCAATGTCTCGGAAGAAAAATTGAGTTTTCATACTTTTTGTGATGCGAGCAAGTCCACCTATAGCGCAATTGTATTTCTACGACACAAATGCGAGAAAGGGGTAAAAGTTCATTTGATTGTAACTAAAAGTAGAGTGGCTCCTTTAACAAAGATAATGATGCCTTGATTAGAATTGTTAGCATGCTTGATCGGAGCTCGTCTCACTGCAACAGTGAAAGAAGCGATGGATTTAAAGGGAATATCAAGTGCCTATTGGACCGACTCCTCTACTGTTACGTTCTGGATCAAGCATGCAGATAACTGGGAAACATTTGTAAATAATCGAGTGAAGGAGATAAGAAATTTAACATCAAAGGAACAATGGAAGCATATTCCAGGAAGCAACAATTTGGCTGATCTCCCATCCAGAGGATGTTCCGCTGGAGTTTTGCTCAGATCCAGATGGTGGGAGGGTTCCACCGTGGCTTAAACAGCCTGAAGAAAATTGAGCCCGTCTCTGAAATTAAATTAAATATGGAAGACGTTTCTAAAGAAAAGAAAAAGGGAATAACTGCCTTAGCTACCTCAATTGCTCCTAACGAAAAATGGTACTTGCATCGTTTTTCTAAATATTCGAGAATCATTCGGCTGATAGCTTGGATTCTGCAGGGATTCTTTCATAATTCTAGAAATTCCGATCACAAACTACAGGAAGAATTATCTGTTCAGGAAATAGAAGCAGCTGAGGAAAGGCTTTTCTTAATTGTTCAGAAAGAATCTTTCCAAAACGAATCTACAAAATCAAAGTTGAAAACTCTTTGCATTTTCACAGATAAAGAAGGTTTAATGAGACTGAAGACAAAAATCCTTTGAAGAGATGATACAGATTATTTCGTGTGTCATCAACGGTTTTGGATTTTAAGAGGACGCAAAGAGTAATCGTGAAATGCATTCGATGCAAAAGATATAATACAAAAAAAAAAAAAAAATCGGAACACTTCCAGCCCCATTGCCTAAAGACAGGGTCCGAGACGCTCTGGTTTTTGAAGTAACTGGAGTAGACTTATCTGGACCTCTTTATCTAAAGGATGGAAAGAAAAGTTAGATACTTTTATTCACCTGTGCTGTTTATAGAGCCATACATCTTGAACTGATAAAAGGACTTTCCACCGACGATTTTTTGTTGGGCTTCAGAAGATTCATAGGCAGACATGAACGACCAAAAACTATGTATAGTGACAATGGTACAAACTTTGTTGGGACTAAAAACCTCTTTCTTTCACTCGATTGGAACAAAATTATGCAAGAATGTTCTTTTTTAAGATTACATGGAAGTTTAATACCCCCACAGCTGCGTGGTGGAGGGGGGTTGGTGGGAGTGAATTATTCAGATGGTTAAGAAAATTTTAAGAAGAATATTAGGAAGAGTCTGCTTGAGATATGAGGAGCTGTGTACCATTCTCTGCAATACGGAAGCTGTAATCAATGCAAGACCGTTAAATTATTTGTTTGAAGATTTAATGCCTTTAACACCCTCTATGTTCATTCAGGATATAAAAACGGTTGGAGTTCTGGACTTGGACCATATATATGAAGTCAATATCAATAAGAGTTATAGATATCAAAAGAAATTATGACAAGATCTCACAAAAAGATTTATAGACGAATATTTGAGTCTCCTAATTCAATCCAGAGATAATAAAGCTACTCGAAGACAAAATATATTTAGGAGATGCGATACTTGTCGGAAGTGAGAACAAAAAAAGATTGGAATGGCCATTGGGTCCAGTTATTGAATTATTCCAAAGTCAAGATAGGAGATTGTGTCACAATGCTCTAGAGGTTCGGTGGTCGCGCCTTGAAACCACTGCTCTTCACAATGGTGTTTGCTTGCTTCTCAAATAGGAATGTTTATTTTTACCCAGATACAGATAAGGGGTTTTGAAATCACAGTTATTTTATTACTAAACAATACATGCACCTGCCCAGTAAAAAAATTTTTCTTTTCCAGAGATCTCAACACACTTGCTCCCCAAGCCGGTATTGTGATTTTATAAATTATCTCTTGCGGTTTAAATTTAATGTAAATATACTCTGCTATAATTAAAAATAGAAACCACTTTAAGTTTTATTTAAATTAAAAATATTTTCTGAATACTTTGGGATGAAATGCGAATAAAATAAGTATGAATGCAAAACAAATGATCCATACCAAAGACCAAGCCCCCCCCCCATTAACATAAAAAACCACAAATTTCATGTGGCAGATGAAAAGAAACTAAATAACGCTGGACATATATCAGTGAAATTTAGATCCAGGCAGCGTACATTTTGTAGCACAAGGAAGGAACCTTACAGAAGATACATGTGCGAAATGTGCAATATGGGTCTATGCATGAACCAAAATGACAAAACATGCTTTGAACAGTGTCACAAAAAAATTTATTCTTTGAAATTAAAAAAAAAAAAAAAAACACTGAGTTCTTTTTTTCCCCTTATTTTAGAGAGTTTTTCAATCCATTTAGCAAAACGTCCTTATTATGTAGGTACTTATATTTTCACTGCTATAGAAAAATTACATAAATGTTTATTTTTAAATTTTTTTCTGACGATACTTTGCAAAATAATGTACAAAAATTATATATAATGCATTTCTTACATACATTTTTTTTTTTTTTTTTAAATTCGTAAATTTTGTCATTTATTGGAAACGCGCACGGAGAAAGGCAAGTTTTTTCTCCCTACTATCTCAGTAAGTTTCAAAGTCCTAGATGCGCGGTGGTTTCACAGAGCGACCACCACCCACAGAACAATGGGCAAGAGTAGATTTTTTAAATTAATATATTATTTGTCTCTACAATCATAATATTCAATTTCGAGAGTTATCAGTTAAAAAATTATACAAAAATATTGCGCACATCAAAGGGTTAACTAATAATAAATAAATTTAGAGGAAAGAAGAACAGTAAATGATATAAATAACATTAAAATGAAGTTAATTACTTAAAAATTGAAGAATTACAATAATCAATGATAATTTGGCGAGTATAGTCATATTAAACGTTAGCCTAGATGACTGATTGCTATTTTTTTATCTTACTGCAAAATGAAAAATAAGGCATTTATTAAAATGAAAAAAAAAAAGTTAAAAAGATTTTGCGGTAAAATCCCAGTTTTCGCTATGGCCTTGATACAATTTTAAAAACTGCCGCCAACACCAAAACGACCGGTTTACTGCCCAACACCTTCTTAAACAGACACTGAGAGACAGAGAGAGGTAACTGTTGTTACTGCTTATCATAATTTCGCCAAATCCCATGTGTACCATACATGGAGGTTAGAATAGAAAATATGTATTAAGATAAAAAAAAATTCTCTGCAACAGGAGTGGCTCCATCCCAACGTAGAGAGAAACAGCTGCGCATGCGCGAAATATCTGTCAGCGAAGATCGCAAAGTTCAAAGGTCACGTTTATCAAGAGTACACAAAACGATTATCGTTTTAAATTTCTTTAAACTTTAACCCCTTCGAGCCGGGTAGTGAAAACGCGCGCTTATCGCGGAGGCCGGCAGCGTCTTTCGCGAGCGTCTCTCCAGGGCCGGGGGCTTTTTTGGTAGTAAGCCTAAATCCATGAAATTTTCCGAAGTATCAACGCATTGTTTAATAATGCTCTATAGAGTATTTAAACGGCTTATGCTTTATAGATATTTTTTATATGTATACTTTAATTACCTAATTTCTTGTTTAAATGCATATTTTACACATTTTATTTTAATTACTCACCATTTTATGACTTTTAACATTATACATCTGAAAACTAAATATATTACTTAAAATTCTCTTTTCGTATGAAAAAATTGAAAACAGGGATCTACACACAGTCCTACGTTACATTCCTTGAACTCGTAATAACTCATTTGCCGTTTTGGAGGATTTTTCCGGGAATGTGAACAAACGAAGCATTGTCATCTCATTTTCTTATCAGTCTCTTCTGAACAAAGTTTTGGAAAATGTCTTTCAGTTAATCTTTCAGAATCAATATCAGAATTTCAGAATCAATATCTGAAATATTTTGCATCATTTCTTCTATTTCATTCTCTGTTAAACATTTTCAACGCTTCGACATTGCAACGGTAAAAACAGAAAGAATTCATGTCTAACAAGATGTAATTATTTTCTAAAAACTGAACTGTAAACCGCTTTAGCGCATATAAAACTTCTACTTACAATAAACAACTACCACATGCGAATAAAGTGCGATTTAAAGAGACGTCATAAATCACGCTATTCGGAAACATTTAGTTCCCCGTGTTTATATAATCAAAAACACGTGTATGTGAGTCATGCTTTTCTCATTTCGAGTAGGTCTAATGTACATGTATCTGAAACCATATGGACATACAGTGCCATCTTGTGGCAGAAATTATAGTTTGAAAAACGTTCCAGTACGCTGACACAAATACGTGACAGTAGGTAGTAAACGGGAAAATGCTCTATCATGCCTGCGTGTCGGCCGGTAGGTGAGTGTGTTCGTTGCTGGCACGTAGACGTGACAGTCGGCGCGAAGGGGTTAAAGAAAAAGAAAATATTTTTTGCACAAGTAAATTAATTAATAGATTAGTTATTTGGAGCAAAAAAAAGTATGAAAATCCGAGTATAAATTATCGCGAAAGTCAACTTTTCTTCTTAACACATGCTCAACAATTTCCTGTACACATCGCAGAGGGAGAAATTCTCACCGTCAAATTCCGTCACCAAATACCTCAGAAAGTTTTTCCCTCTGCTTCCTAGCAGCACTATAGCAAACTGATTTATATTACATCTATGGAACTTTTCTTTCTTTACCTAGATATTCTTACATTAGAACAGAGTACAAGGAGGCTATTCTAGCTTACCTTTTCTGCTCTTTCAAATATCTTAAATACAACCTTTAAAAAAAAATTAAATAAAGCTAAATTTGGAAAGCTGTTACTCATATTAAAATACACCACTGACATTCTTCAGTTAGCAAAATATGATTATCGTGAAATTGTTTCCAACTACATACAAAGTTCTTTCACAGAGGTTTCTCCTGAAAAAAAAATTCTTATAATAGTATACTGAATAAAATGACTATACTAATGAAAGTTACCAACTAGACACATTTTAATTAAGAAAAGCAAATAACTTCCAAATGTAAAACCCTAAAACAACAGCACTTCTTGAAAATCGAAGAACATCTGTTCTCTTGTTCTTATCAGTTGTGGTAAACAAGCCTTAATTCTCAGTTTGTTCTATGACGAATAAACATGGACACCAAATACTTTTCCTAACATTAAACTATAATCCAGTTAAACAATGTTAACTGGAAGTTGATAAACTTATAACATCATTCACTTTCACATGCAAGCAGTTTAAATGTCTTTCCATTAGTATCTTTATGCCATTCATTTTTAATATCAAATTCAAAATACTACAATGTAATTAAAAATAAAAATAAAATACATTTCTTATTTGAATGAAAATGTAGATATAACAAAAGTTTTTATATGAAATTACAAAATAAATGGGAACAATGTTCAACATTAAACAGTATACATAGCCTACCATTTTACGAGGTCTTGTCTTTGGAGGAGGGGGAGGAGGGTAGCCATGAAATATATGAGAATCTCCTAAAAAATAAAACACACATAAGTAAATTATTTATAAAATTAACAAATAAACACTCTACTATAACTTTCCTTACTCTCACAACTGTCCAAAGAAAGAGCTTAGTCAGTAAATCCTACTATCATACAAAGAACAAAACATCTTTACAAAATTTAACCTGTAACAAAATATACTAGTACACATAGACTACATCCATTACATAAAGCTTGACTGAATTACAGATATCAATTTCCTGCCCCTTGATGATGAAACAAAAATAGACATCACAACATTTTCTTTTCAAAAAGAACTAAGGGTACAATCAAAATGATACCATTCAAATCAGAATTATTGACTTTAAAAAATACAGCAGTGATAATTTTCTCTGACACTTTAATGTACATTATAATCCTTCACTCTATTTTTAAACTATTTATGGAATTCACGCTTAGCAGGCTGAGTTATTACATAATACTTACAAGAATAATAATTAAATAACCTAAATATTTATACTTTGTAGAGAAATTAGGATACTTTGAAGCTGGAGATGTGAAAAATGCACAATGCCCTCGCTGGGACTCAAACCACTGACCTCTCAAATACGCATCAAGTGTGCTGACCACTACACCACAAAGGCATGCTAAGAAGGCAGGAGAAATACCTTATAACTTCATTGTAAAATTTTAAAAAGCATGTTTTATTTAAAGTGATACATTAGTACAATTATATAGCTAAAGCTCTTCGTATGACAAACGCATCATTTTCAGATTGGCATTTTACAAAAAAATTGCTACGAGAGGTCCGAGCAAATTTTGTCACCCAACTGTCCTGGGAAATGTCCAGTGAGAACACATACATTTCCCCAAAGATATGTACAGTTACAAAGTAAAAATTCGATTATCTTCATAAAGAATATTGTGTGTTGCAAAAGACAAAGAATGTAAACACCCCTTGCAGGGCAGAGTTTAGAGAGCATTTGTACTCAAACACTACATATCAATATGAATAAAAAATTTCTTTCCCTGAAAAATGTATCAACTGATAGTCCTAAGCTGACAGGATTCACCCTCCTCTTTCACTGTAAAGCTAAAACTCCCAGCACAATATCAGTTCTGAACAGAGCTATGTCAGACAACTAAATCAAACAACAGAATTGGAGAATTTCACATTTTTGGTTACATGTTAAAAAAATGTGACCACGACATTATATTTACTGCATCCTCATTCTTCTAGAATTGTCACATTTGTCTCACACAGCCTTTTGTTTAGAATACAAATATGATGGAAGCGAAGATAAAGGAAAAGTAACCTACAGAGGTGTTTATCTTTATGGTTGGAATATGGATCCTAACATAAAAATTGTGGATGATTTTAAGAGTTAATGATTTGTTTCATTAAAGCATGGAAGCTCGAAAAATAACAAGAAAATATTTAAAAAAGTTTCAATGGAAAATATTCATACAGTTCATACAGTTATCTTCATATCTTTCGAGATCTGCTGTATAGGAAAGCAGATGGGACCAAAAGGTTCATCATTCTTGATATCTGGGGAAGGGATTATTACAGCGAGATTCAACTGAATTAGTGCATTCACCTTGGAAAAATGCAGAATTTTTAGAATGTGCCAAACTCTGGCAACTATGCACATAACAATTCTTCAGTTTTAACAAGCCATTTCTATATATGTTCTGCTTGTTGTATTACAAGTTCCAATAGTTTTTACAAACAAATCATGACTTTTTTGCTTTGTTTTAAATTCAGTTTATAAATATAGGCTTCTGAAATCTGTCTTTAATGGAAGAATCTGCAGTAAAAATTTTGTAGCAATAAAATTGTCTCCAACTGATGAAAGTAAAAATTATTTTGCATCAATTCTTAATGCAAGCATAATAAAATTTTCACCAAAACTCCTCCCAAAATTGAAATGTCTTAATTTTTTTTCCCCCCTCCCTTGTTTGTTTGTTTCCATACATCTCCAGTTTGTCAAATAGAATAACTCAGACATTATCTTTAAACCTTTTAAATCTGTTTGATAACACCAATTTGAAATAAAATTATCCTTTCCAAAAAGTTTTATCACAAATATGCATTTACTATTTAACACAAGATTACTGACAAGGCTATTTATAGCAACAAGTCTAAAACTAATATATAGAGTTTCAATAATGAATAAAAAAAGTGTTGTGAAAGATATCACATTGAAACCTTGAAGGAGTATGTGCATGATGATATGTACACTGGTTATCATTAATTAAGGAAAAATCACAAAAATGATTACTTGAAAAGTTACGAGTAGAATTTAATGAAGCTGAACCATAGCATAGACACATAGTAAGGTAGAAAATTGAATGGAAAGGAATTATCAGAAAAGTTATGGTGTTATAGAAATTAACCTATGTGTAACATGATCAAATTAAATGCATCAGTTTGGTATAGGAAAATTTCTTTCAATATGGAATTTGATCTCCCTTAGAAGCAACAGAGCATATAAAGTGATGTTTGATGCTGTCAATCATATGGTCTATCAGTGCCGTGGGAAGTGAGAGCCATTGCTCTTGCAAAGCAGTTACAAGAGTCTCAAAAGGATTGAGAGCAGTTATAGGTCTTCCTAAAGCATCACAAACATGCTCGATAGGATTTAGGTCCTGTGATCTAGTTGGCCACTCCATGTGCTGAACTGATTGCTGCTGAAGATAATCATCCATGATGCTTGCCCTATGCAGTTTAACATTCTCCTCCTGTATCAGGTAATCATCACCTATTGCCCCAGCATAAAGGCATACATATGCATCAAGGATATCATCTATATAGTCCTGAGCATTCATGGTTCCACGTGGAAAGACATGGAGGTCTCTGCATCCATCCAAAGTGATACTACCCTAAATACAAACTGTTCCTTCTGTATGCATCTCTTTCACAATGGTTCCATGGATGATAACGGGTTCCATGTCCCCTCTAAATGAAATTACACCTATTATCACACTGAAGTCTAAACCTGGACTCATCCAAAGATAACAACCATCCACTTATCAACCATCCAGTGAATATGTTGACATGCCAACCTCAAACGCTTCCTTCTATGATGTGATGCGAGTGTCACACAAATGGCTGGTTACCTTGCATACAGACCTCCTTCACAAAGCCTTCTATGTACAGTTGACATTGATACCAACCTTCTGGTGGCTGCAGCAAGGGAGGATCTGAGTTAGGTTGGAAATGCAGTTCTATTCCATCATGCACATAACAACAAATATTGGTCATCAGCACTCATCATAGTTCTTTGCTAAACCTTGGCTGAACCTCCTCGATGCTGAATCCGTAGTTAGAAATTGTTGCCAAAGTCTAAGTCTATGAACCACAGAAAGACTCACATTTAGCCAAATGGCTTCTTCTGTCTTTGTCCTGCTCCTAGTCTCTCAATAGCTCTCCACAGAAGTTCTTCAGGGAAATGATGCCTGGAGGTCATTCTTAACGAACTAGATATGAAACAGGGTTGCCACTCAAACAGGAGAATGAAATTCCCTGGCTTTTCCAGGTTTTCCACATATGTTTCGAGAAAATTCCAGTCTATCCGCGTAATGTACGTTGCCTGTGCTAAGAGGTAAATTAATTATGATATTACTTGTACTGTGTAGCAAATTCACTTTGTTTGTTAATTTTGTTTACTTTTCCGCTTAAAAAACTTAATAAAATTTAAGATATGTACATTGGATAACAACTGTACGTTTTATTTAATTATTACTCATGATCATCCCCAGTTCAACACGAGGCTAATCCGGTTCTTATAAATCACAACACAATGCTAAAAGTTAGGTTAGATTTTAGGTAAATTTAATTTGTGTGAGGTGTATTCTTAAAAGGCAGCTTAACACTTGAAAACACAAATATAATTATAATAGGAGTTGTTTTCTCCACTGAAGATTGAGATTAGAATCTACCCAATCTGGAATAAAATAAGGCTTTTTTTGCAGACATTCTGCAGCTAAACGAAAGAAAGAAATCTATTTAATGATATTTTTTTACTAAATTGAGGTATTTTATATTTATTTTGCAGCATACATATGGAAAAAATATGTGCATTAAATTTCATCATACTGTTAGAATGTCATACTGTTAGTTGTCATCATACTGTTAGAATTAATTTCAGAATTATGCCAGAGAAAATTTCCTGAAATTTGGAAATATTATTTACTAATGATAAATAAATTGAGGGAAGAAGCAACATTAAATGATATGAATAACATAAAAATAAAGATAATTACTTAAAAATTTAATTAGAATAATCAACGATATTTTAGCGAATATAGTTATATTACATGGTTATCCTAGATGATTGATTACTATTTTTTTATTTTACTGCAAAATGACAAGGTATTTATTAGAAAGAAAAGAAAAGAAAAGAAAGATTTTGCGGTAAAATCCTAGTATACGATACGGCCTTCGCGTGATTTTGAAAATTGTCGCCAAGAACAAAATGACCCGTTTACTGCTCATCATCATGTCATCAAATCCCGCTGTACCATACATGGAGATTATTCTCACCAAAGAACGTCTATGTAAAAAGCGGAGAGAAAATTTGCCAAGGGATTTGACGACGGAATGGCCAGAATTTCCCTCTCCGCGATGTGTACAGGAAATTGAGAAACACGTGTTCAGAAGAAACGTTCTTTGACAAAAAAGAAAACTATGAAAATCCGTTTTTACATTATTGCGAAAAATCCAAGAAGAAACGTTTTATCAAAGAACGTTTTTTCTTGGATTTTTCGCAATAATTTTAAAAACGGATTTTCGTAGATTCCCCCCCCCTCAAAATAACTAATCCATGAATTAATTTACTTGCGTCAAAATATTTTCTTTTCCTTTACAGTTTAAAGACATTTTAAACGATATTCATTTTATGAACTCTTGATAACGTGACCTTCGAACTTCGACACCGGTTTCGAGCTTTGGCGACAGATATATCGCTCATGCACAGCTGTTTTCCGCTATGATGGAACAGAGCCATGTCTGTTGCAGAGAAGTTTTCCTTCTTCATAATACATATTTTTTTAATTCTAACCTTCCTGGTACCGTATACTAGGATTAAACCGATTTTGTTTTATACGAGAACAGGTACTTTCTTTAGTTCATGCACTGCACATGCAATTCTCGAGGTTACTGGAAACCAAAAGTTGCGGGAAACTTGCTTTGCCTTTCTAAAAAGACAATCAAATTGGAGCTGCGAAAATTGGCTCTATGCCAGCTGCCCGAATGACACTCACGTGATACACAATTCGCCAAAAAAGTGATCTCTTCCGACGTCGGCGCAAAACTCGCCTTTTTTGGCGGGATCGTTGTATGAAATTCCCTGACTTTTCCAGATTTTGACTAAAACACTTAAATTCCCTGACTTTTCCCTGAATTTTTTGGTCAGTTTCCGAATTCCTTGACTTTTTCCGGTTTTCCAGGTAGCGTGGCAACCCTGATCAAAGACGTCTTATCTCAGTATCACAGCAAAATTTAAAGGTTTTCTCTCAAACAACTCTATGCTCCTCGCAGATCACGCATTCTGATTGCAGCACAAGTAATTTACATACTGCAATTTTATTCAAAAACTCTTACTTGATAACATATTCAAATTTTACACAGACTGATTTTTTTTGGCCCGAGTACTTTATTTTAGATACATCGCTATTTTCACAATTTTTCCTTAATATTTGGAAACCAGTGTATTTTCCAACACTCTGGTAATACATGATCACTGCAAGTCATGCAACTCAATAGATAAAATTTTGTTTGCTGTAGAAATATATTGCATTTTGGAATTCAGGTAAACTGAATTGATTACCATGGTTCACTGCAAATTTTAATCAAACTTCCGAAAATCCCCTCCGAGCAAGATCTACGATTGGTACAAAATATTTTAAAGTACAGGCTAAACATGTAAAGATATAACATCTTAAGAACGAGTTAAATGTGCTCATAGCTAACAAAATCTAAGGAAAACTTTAGGAAGTGCAAGTTCTGAACTTTAAATTCCACAGCCTACAATTTGAAAAATTACTGAATTATCCGACACTATCAGTCTGCATACAGAGCATTTGTGAACTGCTACAAAAACTACATCTTAAGAAAAATTTACATTCAATATTACACTTTGCTTTCCTAAACTATTGAAACTACATAGTGGTTTTTTTAATTATTTTTTATTTTATTTTTTTTATTTATTTATTGTGTGTGTGTAATAATCCTATATAACTATATTAAAAATTACAATAATAATAATAATAAGGAAAATATTGTTTGACTACAACTCCAAAGATAGGTCAATACTATATTTGCTACTTACGAATAAATGCCTTTTTATGAAAATTTTCTGTTTTATCAGAATTATCAGAAATAGAATCAACAGACTGTTGCATAAACTGTTGAGGAAACTGAGCTACTTTCCTGCGTCCACATACACTCCCCTTCTTTTCCAAAACTGGAACTTCCATACCTGAAATAGACCAAATAATAGCTAATATTAGACTTTCACAGACTTTTATGTGTACAGAATCAGAAGTTAAAAGATGAAGCTTAATAGCACTATAAAAAGTAGTACATAACAAATAATACAATTTTGATCTTAACCAACAACTTATATTTTTTTATTAATCACATTACTACGCTTAAGATAACTGAATGATTCAATTATTTCTGTAATAAAGAAAAATTCTTCCTTACTGGCTAATCAGCATACCCAGGATGACAGAAGCCCTACAATCTTGTTACAATTACAAGCCCCAACCTAGGAAACTTTGCGAAGAAATTTTTTTATGGCCAAAGAAAGTTCTTATATAAAAAGGCTAAGGGGGAAGGGGAAACTTTATAAAAAGCAATAATATAGTAACTTGCAGATTTAATTTAGCATGTGCTACTACTGTAAATTATTAATCCAAAATAAAAGGACAGATACATTGTAAATCCGTGAATTTTGATCAATTTATTCAGCCTCCTATTTGGCATCTCTACTTTAAATCTGCAGCTACTATAATTTGTTGATTAACTTACAAAGATAATGTTTGGAAGAAAGGGTAAAAAAAGGTAATTCAAAGTGAAAATTCAAAGTGAAATAATCAAATGGGAGGTTACAGCAATTTTTGCTAGAGTGAAATTGATCCTTTACTTATTCTCAAATGTAAATTTTAAATTTCGTGTGACCCTCATGTTATACAAAAATAACTTTAAATACAAAAATTAGAAGGAAAGTAATCCATGTTTATAGCAATTTTATATTTAGTACTTTTTCTAAAAAATAACCGCATTCCATTGGGATCATTTTTGACAAATGGGCTGCGAGGAATAATGGATCAACTTTCTTCACAGGATGTACACCCTCTCTAATCGATATCATGTTCCCAAGTTATACTTAATTCAAGCACTGCTTGCTTTGCTTAATAAAGGTTTTTCTGTTTAAGTTTTATTAATCATGAATTCTCCTAGCATTATGAAAAATTTCCCATAATATAGATGATTTCTTCAAAATGCCTGTGACAACCAGGCTGGATACAACAAGTAATAAACTGTTTGTGTAAAGATCTACCATTCATGTATGTGGTATGTTTCATTGCATAGTACCAAAGACAGGTAAAGAAGTTGACAAAACAGCAACTACTACAGTCAAAAGTCATTAATTCGGACACCCATAATCCGGAATGATCTATAATCTGGACCTCAAAGCTACAAACTTTCTGCACATACGTCACGTTTACGCGTAAACCCTTTACGGCTGCGAATTTGCGTGTGCGCATGTGCATAATACGTTTATGCATGAGCGTTTAATGTATAACGGACGGTATAAGCTAAGCTAAAATTATCTAATTCAGTTAATGTTGCAGATTGCATTGTTCCTTTAATCTTCGAATTGGATCCAGCTTATTATTTTTTGCAGACTGTTAGAGCAATTTTATAAAAGTAAGCTTGAACTTTCGATTATGTCAAATAGAATTTCCAATATATATTTACTAATATGTAAAGGATCTACAAAGCGAAAGTATGTTTCGAAGTCCATTAAACAAAAAGTGGAATTGCTGCAAAAAATGGATAAAGGCATATCCTGTTTCTTAACCATTCTCAAATCTGTTCAATTTCACGCTGCTCTGGGGGGGGGGACATCGCGGCACGCAATGAACTGGAAGTTGATCTGTCAGCACTATCCTTATCTTCAGAGCAGATGTTTTTATTTTATTCAGCTTATAATTCCTTACTAAATGTAGTATTTCATCTCGATGTATTCCATCTTTGATATGATTTAAATCAAATTCCTCGTCATTATAAATATCACGAGTACACATCAAATAGTTTTCTGGTTGCAATTTTCTAATTTCGACTATGCGTAATGTATGCTTTACGCATGCGCGCATTAAAAGAAATGTTTAATAAAGTAAACAAATAAATCTTAAGCTTTTTTTGGTAAATTTTGATACCCTTTAAATCATAATTTTCTTTATTTCATAAATTACGGTTTCATATTTTTAATTTTGTAATTTCTGCATGCCATCTTACCAGATTTAAACTGATGATCTATAATCCGGAAAAATCGATAATCCGGAATCGCCGAAGTCCCGACGAGTCCGGATTAACGACTTTCGACTGTATATAAATATATAATAATTTGTTTACTAAAGAGATATTAATGATATTATCTCCTAAGATTAATTTTAGTAGAATTATCTAAAAAGAGTGAATAATCCATAGTTAGTAAGTTTAATTCCGAAAATTGTTTTAAATTAACTTGAATGTAAATTGTTAAAAGTGTTTAACGGGGACTTAAATTAAATCATGAATAACAAAATTTCAATTGTAAAAAGAAATTAAATTAAAAGCAAGTAATTAAATTAAAAACAAGTAATCATTGCCATTGATTGGAAATTAGTTGACTTTTCAAGGGGAACAAACCAATTCCCGTTCAATGAAAAATAATTAAGAAAAAAATTAAGAATTTATGGGAGAGGGAGTGACTAGGAATGCTTGAGGGACATATGTTGTGGAGTTCTCATTTGAGTGAAACCATCTGTTAAAATTTTTGAATATACTAGTGAGTGGAAATTAATTAATTTCTGGCTAATTGCCGTGTCATAACGAGGAAGAAATTAAGAAAAGGAAAAAAGGAATTTTCACTGTCAAAGAGCTATTTGACAGACAGATTATGAAATAGGCCCATTTTTTTTTTTAGTAACAGCATAAGTCTGAAGACAATTAGCTTTTTCCATTATATACAGCTTGTAATTACACTATGTTCAAATCCTTCAACTGATAGTCATCCAACTTATACCGCCTTCTCAGGTTTAGGAACAAATTATCATATCCCTATCAGTTAAATGATTTAGAGTGAGTATTTAACGCCTGCTCTTTTAAGGCAATGGTTAATAAATTGATTAGGTATTAGATTATTTTTGAGAATTTTAATAAGGAGCAAAACTTCGTGTTGTAGATCTATCATATCTGTGCTGATATTTTTAATTCATTGTATATGATTTATTATTGTATTGTTAATTACTTTTTTTGGATATGTTGGAATTCCAATTTATTAATTTGTTAGTATTGAAATTGAAGTTTCTTGTTTTGTCAAAAAGTAAAATTTTTTTGTAGTTAATGATTTGAAGATTGAGATAGTCTATGCTATTTTGTGAATTATTAGTTTTATTAAGTGTAAGGCAATTTGGATAAATCTCTGAGTATTCAATTTTATTAAAATTATTAATTGTAATAAGATCATCAATATATCTGTAAGTGTGCTCGTAGTAATTTAATTCTTGTGGTTGTAGATTTTTTTGGAAGTTAAATTCTTTGATAAATAAAAAGATACTACAGAGCGATGTACTGGAATGGGACGCCATTCGAAGACCTCTGACTTGTTTAAAAAGTTGATTTTGAAATTTAATGTAGTTATGAAAAAGTGTGCATTTTAGGTAGTTATGAAAAAGTAAATATAAATACCTGGACTCGTCAGGACTTTGGCGATTTTTCCGGATTATAGATCATCAATTTAAATCTGGTACGATGGCATGCAGAAATTATACAATTAAAAATATGAAATCGTAATTTATGAAATAAAGAGCAATTATGATCTAAAATGTATCAAAACTTACAAAAAATGCTTAATATTTAATTGCTTACTTTATTAAACATTTCTTTCAATGCAAGTTGTTTAAGTTGCTTTGTTTTTTGTGCTAATACTTTCTCCTTAACTCTATAAACAGACATAATTTCTTGTTCAATTACAAAGTTCCACTCTTCAAGTTCTGTAATTGCTGTGTCGAAAATACCGACTAACTTGTCAATCAAAATTTTTTCTTTTTGAATAACCTCTCTGTCACTTTCTTCACTATCGGAAGCGTATTTTCTGGATCTAGAACCATACTACAGATTTCGCCGTCCGTTAATTGATTGATGACTGGGGCACTGTCGTCCCAATGAAAAACTTCTGTTTTATCATCTTCATTTATTACGGCTTCTCCACATTTCTTTACAAAGTCCAATAACTGGAAAATTTTAGTTTGCGATATCCAAAAACCTTCATATTTGTGGCTATCATCTTCATCGTCCTCACCATGAAATATGGTAGCTGGCCATAAATTATGCTAAACATTTTTTAACGTATCTGGAGACACATCCTCCCAACACACATGCCTAAAGCATACAAAAAAAAGTATGTGGCTTTGAGGTCCGGATTATAGATCATTCCATATAATGGACGTCCGGATTACGGACATTGTACAGTATATATTTACACTCTTAGACAAAACAAAATGACGCGGCACGATGTACCGAGGAGAACAAAAGCAAATTAGACACAAATTGATATGCATACAGGTTTTGATAGAAAATGCAAAATTTTACATTTTGGCTGCCAATGAATGAACGGTTGTCACTACAGCGCATCTGATCTGCGCAACTGGCAGGATATTTAAGAGGAGAAATTATGATTCCAGGTCATAAATTCTTCAGGAATTTCATTCCGTGTACTCTGGTAGACAGTAACTATGTATGTCTCGCATACAGGTGCGCGAACGATATGTGCAGATGTCAGATTTTGAGAGAGGTTGTGTTGTTGGGCTCAAAGAAGCTGGTTGGGCTTATCGGTGCATAGTTCATAGATTTCGACATTTGAGCAGGAGCGATGCCACTATTAGATGATGTTGGCAGGAATGGGTGAAGCATGGCCGCACACAGCATCAAGAAGGAAGCGGTAGGCCTACAGAAACGACTGAAAGTGAAGACCGAGCAACCGTCAGAGCGGCACTCACAGCCCCAGATGCATCATTATCATCGATCGTATGTGCAACTAGTGCTTCAGTGACCGCAAGGACCATTCATAGACGGCTCACAGAAAGGGGGCCGAGGTCACAGCACCCCTTGCACCGACTACCATTGACTTCTGTACAATGTCAAGCCTGTTTGCGGTGGTGTCGGGCTCATTCACACTGGAATGTCACTGACTGGAGTAGAATAGTC